TGTCGGCTACAGTCCACGCCGGGCCGTGCACGTCTATCTGTGGCTGTCGGCTACAGTCCACGCCGGGCCGTGCGGCGTCCATCTGTGGCTGTCGGCTACAGTCCACGCTGGGTGTGCGCGTCCATCTGTGGCTGTCGCTACAGTCCAACGCCGGGGCCGTGAAACGGTCTATCTGTGGTGCGCTACAGCCACGGCCGGGCCAAACACACTAAAACAAAACACAAACCGTAGCTGCGTCATCTGGGCTGATACGATATCAGTCCATACGCCGCACTGTGTCGTCCATCTGTGGTTGTGCCATACAGTCCACGCGCCGGGCTGTAGCGTGTCCTCTGTGGCTGTCGACTACAGTCCACGCATGGCTGGTGATAGACACTATCATTACTCGTGGCTGTCGGAGATAGTCGCTTAGCGCGGCGCAACGTCTCAGGTCATATGTAGTTATTTAACGCAAGGCAGATGGCGGCCGAGATACACAACGGTTACAGTGAACGAGATCCCAGACGACCTGAGCGGTTGCAAGATGAGCACGCAGCGACTCCAGTCATTCCGAAACCAGCCGTAGCCGTGTGACTGGCAACGCCTCGGACTGGCCATTAACACTTTAGGGCGTATTTATCTTGACAGGTTTTTTGTGACAGATCTCCACAATTCACATGATGCACTGTGTTCCACAGGAGACTAAATGACAGTTATCTCTTTAGAATCAGCTCCTCTATGAGGAGTCAGAATGCATGGTATGATCACCAGACAGCAATCACACACAACCTCTATCAAGTCTCGATACGGCATCATTGTATATAGGCAGGTATCTTTTTTTGTGTTTTAAATGGCCTTTTTTTCACCCCCTTTTATCACATAGCATTGCCTTTCCATTCTTGAATCAGAAAATCGGCAGAGGGGAAAAAAAAAATCAACCGTGTACACATATTAAGAAAGGGAAGTCAGAGGAAGATGGATCAAACCCATCCATCTATCCATGTGGCCATTTATCTATCAATCCATCTCGGTACCCACCCGCCTCTATTAAAATAAATAGCAGGCCCTGAGCACATGGCCGGTTGGCTGAAGTTACGATCTGGACAAAAGGTCCGTTTGGGAAAAGGATGCTGAAGCCCTAATTCTATTTGTGCCGGTCGAAAATCAGGAGGGGTTTTTCTACACTTCACTTTTATTAGATTATTCCTTATAGATGGTTTCTTTTTTCCTCCCAGACGCGTGGTGGTACAGGCTGCTGAAGCAGTTGGTCTATAGTCGGAATAATCAAATTAACCATTTGGTACAACTTTTAGGGGAGAGCTCGCGTGTGGAAAGCACAACTGGAACAAAACAGGGCGCTGGGGCTCCGTCCCGCCCTGGCCTGGCCCGGCCCCCGCGCGCCTTTCATCTCGGAGCTGAAGCAGGACCCCGGGGTCCCCAGAGGCGGGCCGGGGGGACGGCGGCGGGGGCAGGGGTGGTGGGGGGAGGGACGCTGACACCGAACAAAAAATAAACCTACAAGGCCCACAAAGGGGAAAATGAAGTCAAGCGCATTAGCTCATCCGACCATGCGGGTCTTGCGCCGCGCTGAAAGGTCTCCTGCTATAAAGGCGCGAAGGCGCACAGCACCCGGGCCAGGCTGGGCGGACCCCGGGCCCGGGACCCCGGGCAGGCGACTCGCACCGGCCTGGGCTGGGGCTGGGCGGGTCCCTCGTCCACCCTCCCGGGCACCTTCCGTGTCCTGGCATTTATTTCCCTCGCTCCCGGCCCCTTGGCGGGGTTCTTGCCCTCAGCCGTCTCCCCAACACCCAGCTCCCCTGAGCTGCACCTTGAACCCCGGAACCCAAAGCTCCCTTTGCCCCAAGGACTGCCTCCAGGCACCATCTAGATCCCCGAGGTCCGACCGCCTCTCCACCCAAGAGCCGTCCCCAAACACTGCCAACACGAACCCCTCTACTCCGAACTCCCCTGCACATTCCCAGGCCATCATCTCCCCTTTTCGCCCCTAAGGCCATGGGGGGGGGCTGGAGAGACTGTCTGCAAAGTAGGAGGACGGGAAGTGAAACCCCCTGCGCTCTGCTGGGGCGTAGGGCTCAGGCGGGCCGGCGGAGCGCGCGGTGCGCAGCGCGCGCGGAGACCAAGCCGGCCGCGCCCGGGCGGACAGGCGCAGGTGCCAGGCCCCGGTGTGAACCTGCTTATTGCCAAGCGCAGGCCTTGGAGCTGAAAAGCAGCTCCTCCCAGCCACCCCAGGGCCACTCTCTTCTGCGGAGAAACGCGCAGCTTAACCCTCACCCCAGCAGTGGCCGGCGCCCCGGGCATCCATAGCCCCCCAGAATGCGGGCCTGGGCGCGGAGTCCCTTGCTCGCGCGCCGAAGAACCAGGAAGCGTCCCCTCCTCCCCGCCCTCCCTCCGAGGGAACGAGGGAACTTGGACAATCTCAGCGTTGTGCTTGGCGACCTATCCCCCCACCTCCCTCAAGTGGAAGAGGGAGAAGGAGTGTGTGTGTGTGTGTGGGGGGGCGCATTCCATGTGTGGAGTCCAAAAGGGTCTGGCCACCTCCCGGTCCAAACGCGGATTCATATTCATGAGAGCGGGATAAATAAAGACAGAGATCCTGGCTGTAACAGCACTTAGATTCGCATCCGTCTTTGCTGGCTTTTAGGTTTAGGGGACGGAAGACAGATGTTCGCGTCCCCTTTCTCTTCTTGTCTGGCGACCATAAAGAAAACCCATTTAGAGCACTGCAATTTGTTCCCCCCCGCGCGCCGCCGCAGTAAAACCTTGTATCCATTTATTTCCATTTCACCTCCGCGCGCACAAAACAGCGCGCCGCCGGTCACCAAGGGCTCTTCTTTATCAAATACGCATTGCACAACATACAACGGCAGTAAAACTATCACCCCTCCCCATAAAACCATCACCGAGGTCCTAGGGAGGTCCAGCGCTTCCCCCACGTGGAGGACCCGCAAGTCCCCCTGAAAATGGCCTGGAACTCACCCTGCAGAGGGGCGCCAGGCTGGGGGTGGCCGCGGTCCCTGTTTAATCCATTACCACGTCCGTGGCAGTTTCGTGCGCAATAAAACACGGCAGACAGCGCTGCGCCCATCCACTTCCCCGGCACTAGCATCGAATTAAACCACTTAGTTTGGCAAACACTGAACGCCTAAATGCCCCTATAAAGACTTTATGAGTTTGTTACTTTAATTACTGACTTGTTACGGAGCACATAAAAGGGGGTAATGAATGCAATAAAACTAATTATCTGCACATTTAATTCATATAAAATATCCAGGGTTTGTTTACAGCGCACGGCGATCCGACTGAGCATTCCCCCTCTTGTCCACCGAGAGAGGAAGGATTTAATGAAATAGTTTCCCTTATGCTGCTGCTAGAGCCCTAACGGAACCAAATGAAAATTACCCTCGGCTTAAATCACGGGGCCACTTAGGTCCACACATCACCCACCCACCGGGCCTCTTTGTCTGCTGCGCCCAGAGCCCGAGGAACCGGACGGGCAAGGTGCCTGACCCGGAGAGCCCCAGCCTGGGCATCTCTTTACATGGCAAAGCGCTAGCTTGGCCGGCTCCCTGCTGCAGTCCCGCAAACCCAAAGGGCAAACAAACAACGATCCCCCTTTTCGAAGCCCCCGGGTCTGGTGTGGGGCATTGCAGGCACCTGGGAAAAAAAAAAAAAAAGAAAAAGAAAAGTGGAGGCGACCAAGAGACCGAGCGCATGGGAGGGAGGAGAAGGAAGAGGAGACACGTTTGGGCACATTTCATGCCCGCTTGCCACTGATTTCGGGATTAAAACCAGCAACCCCAGGCAGGCAACCTCCAAACCAAACCAACGGGGACCCAGAGCTGACACGGGCAGACACAGAACTGAGGGCAAAAAAAGAAAAAGAAAAATCCGGTCGGTGGAGAATCCAGGTGTTTCACATTCAAGAGCTTTACTTGGCTTTTATTTTATTTTTATTCTTTCAAGCGGCTGTATTTTACACCCTGCATACCCTAGAAAGCACATTAAGCCGCCAGGAGAGAAATGCAATTTATAAGATGCACGCGCGCTCTCTCTCTCTCTCTCTCTGTATTTTTTTTTGCCCCCTCTACCAGGTGTATTTTAAAGAAATCCGCTTATATACCGTTCCACATCAACCCCCTCGGCCCACTTACTCCCTGTTACAGGGTGCCTGGCTCTTGCCAATGTCCCCAGCCCTTTATAACATTTCACGCACTTCGGGGGGTAGGCTTGTTGTTAAATTGAGCGTGTAACGCTCTTACAAAACAGGTTTTCTATGACATCAAGGTTTCTTCTCCCTAACTGAGGTGGTGGGGGGGTTGGGTTGGGGGAGAGAGAGAGAGAGAGAGGACCATAGGAGAAGGGGGGGGAAAAACTCACGCCCGAGCACACACACACACACACTATCTCCATTTATGCCTAAGGTATATGATCGGTTAAAAAGGCTTAAAAGCTCGGGGAAATTGGATCAGGGAGAATCGTCACCCAACTTTCATTATTTCCAAGGAGCGTGATTGAATTAAAGGGCAGGGAGCCGGTTAGAAGGGAGAGGAGCAGGGGCGCAGTGCGTAATGGCGCGGTATTAAATTCTAATTAGAGATGCAGGAATCAATGATAGGGAGGCTGGACAGCTTAGTTCCCCAGCGCCAGCCCAATAGACGGATGAGTTATTGTCATGTAAAAAGCGCCAGCAATAAGACCAACCGCTTTGCTATTGTCCAAGTGGAAAGAGCCAAGTTTATTATGAGGACTATATGCTCTAGAGACCTCAGACAAGGCATCTCATAGGAGGCTTTTTCATAAAACTAGGCTCGGCGGGTACCAAGGAGGCCAGTTTGGAGGCAGCCGTTGAGCTGTGCACACCATCTCTCCCCCCCTCTTCCAGCCACCGTCTCCATACCCGTCTTTTATTTCGTTGTTGGTTTTTGTTGTTGTTGTTGTTTGTTTGTTTGTTTGGTTTTTTTTTTTTTTGCCACTGGGCCTAGCCATCCAGAACCTTTTCAATGTATAAAATGGAATATTCTTACCTCAATTCCTCTGCGTACGAGTCTTGCATGGCCGGGATGGACACCTCGAGCCTGGCTTCAGCCTACGCTGACTTCAGTTCCTGCAGCCAGGCCAGTGGTTTCCAGTATAACCCCATCAGGACCACTTTCGGGGCCACGTCCGGGTGCCCGTCCCTCACGCCAGGATCCTGCAGCCTCGGGACCCTCAGGGACCACCAGAGCAGCCCGTATGCCGCAGGTAAGGACCCGGGGCGCTCTCTCTCTCTCTCTCTCTCTCTCTCTTGCTCGCTCTCTCCACCGCCGATGCCCGGCCAGCCCCGGGGAAGCCGCCTTTCCGAGCTCCGTGTATATAGGAAGCCTTGATTGCATTTGAAAATGGAAATGTGTTTAGTATTTACCAAACGAAATTTGCTTACACAAATGAAAGAATTTATCACGTTAGAAGCGATTGCGGGGAGGGGGTTAATTCACTTACAGGGTTACACTATCCTAGTCACACCCGAAACCGCCAACAAAATTATCTTAAGCTGCCAAAATGATAGGCATAATTTATTTACTTTGCGATGAGACGTAAAGCTTAGAAAATAATTAAATAACAAAGAGTAAAGCTCATTACTGACACTGTCTCTCTCTCTCTCTCTCTCTCTTTTTTAAGGACCGACAACAGGCTCACACCTCTTCCTCGGCTGGTCATTTTTAGGCTGATCGTTTCTTTAATTTATTATTCTTTCTTTTCTTTTCTTTTCTTTTCTTTTCTTTTCTTTCTTTTTTTTTTTTTTTTTGCAGCACTTTTTACCCCTCCCCAACTTTGGGGCCAGGTCAACCTCTGAGGATTGAAAAGTTGCAACGGTGGGAGTGTTTGCTAACGTCTCCCCTGGTTCCGTGATATTCCCACTGATGTTTTCGGGCTTTTATCCTCTCTCGATTTTTTTTTAATTTTCCTACTGTAAGGACTGTCCCACGTCCAGGGCTGCAGTGGGTCTCCAGCGAGCTGTTTCAACGCGCCCAGAGGCGCTTGTGCCGCCCGGGCAGGCTCTCTCTCCCCCTCAAAGCGCGAAGTCCGAGCCTCAGTTTCCCCTGTGTGATGTGACTGATCTGCTGTCTTTTCCCCGGCCGCCCCTGGCGGAGACCCGGCCTCCTCCGCGGAGTCGCCGCGTCCCCGCTTCCCGCCGGCGCCCGGCCTCGCTCACTCCCCGTGTCCTCTGTCGTCCTCTCTGTCTAGTCCCTTACAAGCTCTTCACCGACCACGGCGGCCTCAACGAGAAGCGCAAGCAGCGGCGCATCCGCACCACGTTCACGAGCGCGCAGCTCAAGGAGCTGGAGAGGGTCTTCGCGGAGACGCACTACCCGGACATCTACACCCGGGAGGAGCTGGCGCTGAAGATCGACCTCACCGAGGCGCGAGTGCAGGTGCGCGCGGGCCTGCGAACCCGCCGGGATCCGCCGCGGGAGCCGCACCGGGCCGGCCGGGGAAGGGGCGGGGGGTGAGGGGCAGAGGGGGGAGGCGGAAGCTCAGAGTCCCGGGTTCTCGCCAGAGAAGGGCCCCGGGGGCCGCAGGGACCCAGGGCTGGTCAGAGAGGTCGGTTTGTTTAGTGCGCGCGCGCGCGCGAGGCGGAGTTGGAGCGAATGCACTTGGCAATTCGTTCCCAAATGTTTCTCGCACCGGAGCAGAGGCGTGTGGGGGGTGGTCTTCAGATGAGAACGAGCGGGGGGCATTTCGGGGACAGGAAGTGCCCTGTGGGAGGAAGAGCACACACTCTGGCCCCGTATTGTAAGTTTTTGTTTGTGTCGTTTTTTTTTTTTTTGCCAAACGCCTCCTAAATCACGCGCTTTTTAACCTGGCACCGTGGCGCACAGGTGCATTTTGCTGGAACTACGATTTGTGTTAAGATTTGCAAGAAGGCTGTCACTCCTTGAAGGTCGAGAACCTCGGCTTACTCTGACCTGTCTCTAACGGAACACAGGTGTGGGCTTTTCCCACCTGGTCCGCGAGCCTCTCCGGGTGAGCCCCGTCGGAGGGGCCGTGCGCACCACCGCGCGCGCTCCACCAGGCCTTTCAAAGGCTGGGGACGGGCGACCGGCAGCGAACCCAGAGGGCCCCCTGCTTCTACCATCCAGAGTTTAACTTTAGACGGAGGCCTGGAGGTGGATGGAGAGCTTGGGGGTGGCTCAAGGCGCAGACTGAGCGAGAAGCCACCCACATAAGGGCTTCCAAATTTCGGGTCTTTCTGGGGCCTGTGGCCTTTTGACCTCTTCTGCAAGCCGCCGTCTCCCTGGCTTGCTCAGCTCGCCCTAAGGAAGCTTCTCCGGGGATGCGCCAGCGACCCGCGGGCGAGGGTGCGCGCGGGGTCACCGCAAGGGAGGGGAAGGGGCGCGTTAAAACAAGTTGAAACGGAGCGCAGGCCACCCTGACCAGCTCTTCTTTCCCATCCCCTTCTCTGCCCCGCGGTTCACCGCCTCTCCTCCCCCCTCGGGCCAGGTGTGGTTCCAGAACCGCCGCGCCAAGTTCCGCAAGCAGGAGCGCGCAGCGGCGGCCGCGGCGGCCGCGGCCAAGAACGGCTCCTCGGGCAAGAAGTCGGACTCCTCCCGGGACGACGAGAGCAAGGAGGCCAAGAGCACCGACCCGGACAGCACGGGGGGCCCGGGCCCCAACCCCAACCCCGCGCCCAGCTGCGGGGCGAGCGGCGGCGGCGGCGGCGGCGGCGGCGGCGGCGGCGGCGGCGGCGGCGGCGGCGGGGGGCCTGGCTGCGGCCGGGGGCCCCGGACAGGGCTGGGCTCCCGGGCCCGGCCCCATCACCTCCATCCCGGATTCGCTCGGGGGCCCCTTCGCCAGCGTCCTGTCTTCGCTCCAGAGACCCAACGGTGCCAAAGCCGCTTTGGTGAAGAGCAGCATGTTCTGATCGGGGTCCGGCGGCGGCGGGGGCGGGGGCGAGCAGGGGGGGCCCCGAGGCTGCTGTCACCGCCGCTGCTGCAGCGGCTGCGTCGTCGAGGCCTCAGGTCACCGCGGTCGGTCGGAATAAAGAGAAAGCGGCGTCGCCCCCACTCCCACCCCACTCCCACCCCTTCCTCCACCGACCCCCCCAAACTAAACAAAACAAAAGCAACTTCCCCAGGGGCTTCGCACCTTCCCTGGGTTGCGCGCGAGGGGCCGGGCCCAGACGCAGGTGCGAGCAGGTGGCCTGGACTCGGGGCGCTCTCAGGGCGCTGTCTGCGCGGGGTGCGCGTCCCTCCGTCTCCGGGAACGCGGGTGTCTGCGCCCGGGCAGGTGACAGGGAGACATTGCGGGGGGGGGCGACAAGGGGCGCACAACCAACTCAGTGACTTGCTTAGAAAAAGAGAAAAACAGACAAAACAAAACAAAACAAATTCGGAAGGTGACAACCATTTAAAAAAATACTCCAACGACCCAGAAAGATTTAAAAAAAAAAAATACAAGACAAGACGAAGTAAAGGGGCGGTGGCAGCCGTCCGCGGGCTCGATCTTGCCAACCCCTAAACTCGTGCGCCCCCCACGCACCCCTGACAGCACGAAGTCTCCGGGCTCATCTTTGTGGGGAGGGTCGGGGCGCTTCTCCGGCCCTGCCCTCCCCGGCCCGCTTCCTCTCCTGTCCTGGGGTTCAGGTCACCGCAGCAGCAGCCACGACCACTCGCTCAGACTGTTCCCCCGGCAGCGGCCGAGGTGGCTTCTTCCTCCGCGCGCCCGCGTGCCGGTGCCACCTCGCCGCCGCCCGCGCGCCCTGACCCCGCACCGCCGCCCGCCGCAGCTCCGCACCCCAATCTCCTTGCAGCCCATGGGCCCCGACGCTGCCCTACCCAAGAGATGCCTTCTCATCCGCAGACTTTGCAAACCGTGCCCTGTTTGGCAATGTTCCCCCCCTCCTTATTTTTTTCTCTCTTTCTCCTCTCCCCGCTCCCGCCCGCGCCCCCACTGGAGTTTTCTCCTTCCACCAGCTCCCCTTGGACCGCGTGGCCCCGTTGGGGTCCGAGGCAGGTGCAGCAGGGAGACCCGCGAGTCCGCCCGCGCGCGCAACGACTGTCTCTCCAGGTCGCCTATCTGGTCGGAGGAGCCCACCTGGGTGGGCCAGCACCTGCCTGGCGCGTGGACCGCTGCATACCCATGATGACCCCATTCCCCCCCCACCCCCTGCGCAATTTAGACATCTCTGTTGGGATTTGGGTTGTTTTTTTTGTTTGTTTGTTTTTGTTTGGTTGTTTTTGTTTTTGTTTTAAAAGGCACAAGCTATAGATATTAGTTGAATGTTGAGGCTTTACCGTTTTCGGTGTCTTTATACAAACTGTGTTCTGTGGCTCAATCGTATCGTGTTCCTATCAGTACAGACCGTCTCCTCCGCGTGACCGTATGATGTTTTTCCTCCTCTCGTAGTCCCCTTAACGCGTGTCTTTCCGGCGTGACAAGGTTCTCACGCGACCCACCCTTTGTGTTTAGAGAGACCACGGTTCAGACAATGGTTATCTATTTTTGTTTATCCGGCTGCATGTCTGTCCCGATTTCTTTTGTTGTTGTTGTTGTTGTTGCTTTTTATTTTTATTTTCTCTCCTCGTTGGACTACGTTGGTGAACATAATCGTCCTAAGTTATGTTTCAGATTTTCGGGTTTATTTATATGTGTCATGACGAATGCTTCTATTTAAAAGGGAAATATTTCTACATGTGCGTATAGTTTTCCAGGAGTGTACCATTAATTCGATTGTTGATAATAAAAACAAAAAGCAAGTCTAGCAATTGAACGCGTCTGACCTTTCCTTCATTGGTTTCTGTTCGGTCGGCTATTGGGTTTTTTTTGTTTGTTTGTTTGTTTTGTCTTTGTTTTTTTGAGTCTGAGTCTCACTTTGTTGCCCAGGCTAGAGTGAGTGCTGTGGCGTCAGCCTCGCTCACAGCAACCTCAAACTCCTGGGCTCAAGCGATCCTCCTGCCTCAGCCTCCCGAATAGCTGGGACTACAGGCATGCGCCACCATGCCCGGCTAATTTTTTTCCATATATTATTAGTTGACCAATTAATTTCTTTCTATTTTAGTAGAGACAGGGTCTCGCTCTTTTTGCTCAGGCTCATTTTGAACTCCTGACCTCGCACGATCCTCCTGACTTGGCCTCCCAGAGTGCTAGGATGACAGGCATGAGCCATCATGCCCGGCCGGTTTTTTTTTTTTTTTTAATTATTATTTAATTTAAAAATGATGAAGGGGAACAAAGGAAATTGTACTATACAGCAAGAAGCCCACTCGGCTCTGGAAATCTAGGTGGGTCGGGGGTGCTCCGGATTCAGCCGAATATAAACGTTAGTGCTTAGGCCACCAGGCAGGATGCTCCTGTCTGTGCGCAGGTGTTGCCCACGCTCCAAAGAGCACCGGGGGGTTGATGGAAAGTGTTCCCATCTGTTGTGAGGCTGCAGCTGTGGATGGTTAGGTGGCAGCCGAGGCAGGACTTGAATTCAGGCCATCAGGGCGGACTTGAAGTGAAAGCGAGGCTTCCGTGTGCACAGGTGCCGTCAGGGCGGGGAGACCCGCCTTCCCTAAGCCCGGCAGCCCGCCGGCACCCTGGGACCCTCCAGGGTCTCCGGGTGAGCAAGTAGATCAGGACCACGTGGATGGGTCCGGAAGGTGCCCAAGAGCAGCACCGCAACGTGGGCGTGTGGGAGAAATAACGTCTACACCGGCCTTTAGCCAGCGCCCCGCCGGGTACGGGTCGTGCTTTCCCTGCATGATCTCATCTACCCTGCAAAACAAGACCACAAGGCCGGGCGCGGTGGCTCACGCCTGTCATCCTAGCACTCTGGGAGGCCGAGGCGGGAGGATTGCTCAAGGTCAGGAGTTCGAAACCAGCCTGAGCAAGAGCGAGACCCCCGTCTCTACTATAAATAGAAAGAAATTAACTGGCCAACTAAAAACATATAGAAAAAATGAGCCGGGCGTGTTGGCGCATGCCTGTAGTCCCAGCTACTCAGGGGGGAGGCTGAGGCAGGAGGATCACTTGAGCCCCAGGAGTTTGAGGTTGCTGTGAGCTAGGCTGACGCCACGGCACTCACTCTAGCCCGGACAACAGAGTGAGACTCTGTCTTAAAAGAAAAAAAAAAAAACGAAACGAAAATGGGAAAGTTCTAGAATTGGGGTGATGTTAGGAACAGTGGGGTCAGGGGTTCTGACAGCTGCAACCATCCTCTTTTGGAGGGGAGGGGTCCTCCCCTCAGCCCCAAGACGGAATCCCGCCCCTTCGGTGGACTGTTTGGGCCACCTTCTTCCAGCAGAAGCCTGGTGTGGATTTCTGGCATTTACCCTGGCACCTGTCTGGCTGGGCACTACCAATAAATAATTCAGTTCCCTTCATTTGCAGGGAGGCCACTGTCTGCTTCCTCTGACCTGAAGGTGAACATCTGAGTTGGTTTGGATTTATCGGGGCTTCTCACCTTAAGCATCCAAACATGACTTGCACTTTTGACCGGGCATTCAGAAATCCTCAAAGCTTTGGGGTCGCATCAAGTTTCTAAGTATCTTCCTAAAAGACTTTTTTAAATAGTCTTTGAAAATTCCGTCTGCAAAGGCCTTCTCTCTCTCTCTCAGTAAA